TGGTGGCACACGCCTTTAATCCCAGTACTCTGGAGGCAGAGGCAGGTGGATCTCTGTGAGTTTGAAGCCAGCCTGGTCTACACAGTGAGTTCCAGGACAGCCAGCGCTACACAGAGAAACTGTCTTGAAAAACCTAAATAAATATAAATATAAATATAAATATAAATATAAATATAAATATAAATATATATATATATATATATATATAATTCCAAAGGAAATGAATCAATATATTGAAGATACTGGTGCTTTCCTGTTTATCTTGGCACTATTTACAATAGCTAAGGTATAGAATCAACCTGAGTATACACTACCAAATGGATAAAGAAAATCTGAGGTGTGTACCAAGTGATATGAAATAGTATTTGTGCCTGCCAAGTCTGTGTCAGGTTTAATTCATTTCTTTTTTGTTGTTGTTGTTTTTGTTTTTTTATTTTTTATTTTTCAAGATAGGGTCTCTCTGTGTAACAGTCCTGGCTGTCCCAGAACTTGTTTTGTAAACTAGGCTGGCCTCAAACTCACAGAGATCTGCCTGCCTCTGCCTCCCAAGTGCATGTGCCACCACTGCCCAGCAGGTTAACTCATTTTATGCATTCACATGGTTATCAGAATCCTCAGGAAAATAACATATTAAAAAATTAATTATGGGGGCTGGAGAGATGGCCCAGTGGTTAAGAGCACTGGCTGCTCCTCCAGAGATTCTGAGTTCAATTCCCAGCAACCACATGGTGGCTTACAACCATCTGTAATGGGATCTGATTCCCTCTTCTGGTGTGCTTCAGGTCATTCACATACATAAAATAAATATTAATAAAATAATACAAAAATTAATTATGAACAAGTCCAGCAAGGAGCCTATTTCTTACTGTATTTGTCTAATCAGGAGGGAGAAACCACACATTATTTTGAATGAAGAAAATTTAACATAAGGATTTTTAGATATAGTGAGATTGCTGTAACAAAATATTAGCTAATAAAGAACCCTAAACAATAAAGAAATAGTAGACACAAGGCATAGTCAATTTCTCTAGGGCCATGTGTTAGTCAATTATCTATTAATGGACTAATATACTTCCCTAGGAGTAACATAAAGGAAAGAAGCATATTTATATGAAAGTTTTAGGGACTGAAAGTCCAAGATCAGGCTACCCCATAGATTCAACTTTTGGTGAGGGTTTCTTCGGCTCAGTTGCCACATGGCAGATGGCATCAAGGTAGGAAAATATTTGTGAGGGAGCTATCACATGGTAAATAGGAAGTGGTAAACTGGGAGAAACCAAGAAGTGATCATTCTTGCTCTTTTATAATAATCGTCTTGTGAGGACCATCCAGGGTTCCATGAGAACTACTTTAATGCCTTTCAGATAGGTCCCCCAAGTGATCTGGTCACCTCCCACTAGGCTCCAGTTCTTTAAGGCCTACCACTTTGTAGCCTGGTGTAATGGTGCATACTTATTGTCTTAGTTGGAGTTTCTATTGCTGTGAAGAGACATCATGACCATGCAGCTCTTATAAAGGAAAACATTTAATTGGGGCTGGCTTACAATTTCAGAGGTTTAGTCCATTATCATCATGGCAAGACATGGGAGTGTGCAACAGACATGGTACTGGAGAAGGAGCTGAGAGTTCTACATCTTGATTTATAGGCAGCAGAAGGAGTCTGTGTCCCATTGGCCAGACTTGAGCTTATAAGACCTCAAAGCCCACCTCCACAGTGACACACTTCCTTCAACAAGGCCACCCCTATTCCACAAGGCCACACCTCTTAATAATGCCATTCTCTATAGGCAAAGCATTCAAATATGAGTCTGTGGGGGCCATACCTATTCAAACCACCACACCTATAATCTCAGTACTGAGTAGTCTAAGGCAAAGGAATCATAAATGTGAGATGAGCTATATATATCAAGAGCCTCTCTCAAAAAAAATTAATGGTCTGTAACCTCAATACCATCATGCTGAGGACCAAGCTCAAAAAATACAATCCGTTGGAGGATACCCTTAAACCACAGCATGCTGTGACAGGGTACCCAGGGAAAAGCCTCTATTTCCTGGGGTGAAATCTAAACCTTGTTGGGCAGAGCCATGGCTCATGAGTAGCAAAAGAATTTCTGTGGTGCTATACTATCAGAACTTGCTGGAAATCTGCCCTCAGGTTCCAGAGAAAGCTCTTTATGGAGCAGTATTACACTAGAATTATTTTATTACAAATCATCTGAGAGGCACATCATAGTAAAGTGTTAGTTAGGTAGTGCTGGCTGCAGCATGATACAGAAGCTTGCTACTAGAAAAAATACTAGCACCATACATACCAACTAGGTAACTGGGAAGTCATATGAGCTGCAGTAGCTGGATACTGGAGAAGTCACCCATGTTTGTAAAAGCTGAGCTTAACAGAGGAGCCACCTACATCACAAGACTACACTGCCAGGGATGCTATGGAAGCCAGGCAGTAGGAGACTGTAGGATCTGAATGCTAGACAAGGTGTCCAGATTAGAAGATCCTGCTGAGTGAGTCACCCAAGAGCAAGGAATGACTGCAGTGTCTCCCACTGACAAAGCTTTAACACTGTGCCTACTGGCAAAGATTAAAAATATAATGTATTGAATTTAGTAAAATGTAGGTATGTATTTTATTCTCTTTCAGAAGGATTTTTAAGGAATGTATTTAGAATTAAAGGAGTATATATATTTGGAAAAGGAAGAAAACTGCCTGAAATAGTTCTTTCTGTTGCAACATTCAACTGTGCCAAATCATATGCCAGTACGAGAGGTACAATGTCTGCTTTATAAATTTATACCCAATATTACCTACTTAGAAATATGCGGGTTGGGGATTTAGCTCAGTGGTAGAGCGCTTGCCTAGCAAGCACAAGGCCCTAGGTTTGATCCTCAGCTCAAAAAAATATGCTGAATATTGAGGATAAAACATTTGAATATGTACATAGGAGCTAACAACAAAGTAAATATAGATATATACCCTCTATTGTATGGGAATTATGAGATGAATAGGTCCAGTTCATAAGTTAACCCTTGTTCTAGTAGGTCATTAAGGAACCATGTTTCAAGTTATTGTTCTGCCATTTCCTAGAGCATTGTTGTAGGCTGTACCATTAGTGTTGGGTCACTGTGCAGTCCAATGGGAACCAATAAAAGGGAAGAGTAGAGATTTGCCTACTATATGAAGGTCTGTGTGGTGATTTAAAAGAAAATGGCCCCCAAAGGGAGTAGCAATATTAGGAAGTTTGGCTTTGTTGGAGTAAGTGTGGTCTTATTGGAGGAAGTGTGTCACTGAGGAGACAGACTTTGAGGGTTCATATATGCTCAAGCCATGCCCAGTGAGACAGTCTACTTCCTGTTGCCTGCATATCAACATGTAGCAGCTCCTCTCCACCATCATGTCTGCCTGCATACCACCATGCTCCCCACTATAATGGGGAGCTACTAAACCTCTGGAAATGTAAGCCACCCCAATTAAATATTTTTCCTTTATAAGAGTTGCCATGGTCATGGTGTTTCTTCATAGCAGTAGAAACCTTAACTAAGACCGTCTGCCTGGAATAAATAGTATGTGCCACTCTGTTCATACTCCATGATTGGAAAAAAAAAGTGGTTGGGCAGTGGTGGCGCACACCTTTAATCCCAGCACTTGGGAGGCAGAGGCAGGTGGATCTCTGTGAGTTTGAGGCCAGCCTGATCTACAGAGCGAATTCCAGGACAGGCTCCAAAGCTACACAGAGAAACTCTGTCTTGAAAAAAGAAAAAAAAAAGTGAAACTCTTAAGTGTAGACCCAACTACATTCTGTTAGCATGAAAGAAGAGGAGAAAAATATCTTGACACAAGGTTTTCGGATTCTGCCTTGCCTGCCTTTCCCTCTCTCCCCTTATTAGCATCTTGATCTTCAGCATATTATATAACTAGTCTGCCCCAGTTTTCTCATCTATAAACTACAATTGATATTGACCTCCACTTCATAGGGCCCTCACTTAGCACAGTGTCTATTGTATCATATGTGAAATTAAATAATTTGCATATATTAAATGTCCCATAAAAATTGTGTTATATTGTTGGCATTATTACTATTAATACTATTATTACCATATTGTCTCTTCTATTTCTCTGTGCTCATCATATCTGACTACATGGACTCCTGTCCTAATTATTCTTTGTCATTTTTACTTTTTAGTTGAGGATATTAGGGAAACAACAGAATTTTTGGAGACATTTAATTCAGTGGAATTAAATAGTGGTGAAAGATTTTATCAGTCTACAGGAAAAGATTCATTGTGTTCCATTATAGAAGAAATGTATCAAGATAATGACCAGCTAGAAAAGATACCAGAAAAATTGGTTTAATTCTTTAAGTCATCATGTTAAGGAACTGATTAAGGACAGAGGCTGTGAATGTCAAAATACTGAGAAAAAAAAAAAGAATGCATGAAACTACCAAGCTTGTCCCCTCAGCTAAAAGGTTCCATAATTGTGACAAATTTGCAAAAAGTTTGGAGCATACATTAAACTTATATAATCCTAATGGAAGAAACCAACAAACACTTGATTATTACTAAAACTCTTATGCAGGTTTATAATGAAAAAGAGAAAGTGGGCCAGAAAAAAAGTACAAAGTTTGTAGAGAAAAGCAGCACTAGGAAGCTTAAGGTTACAGCCAAGGCTTGTACCGAAAGAGAGGCTGAAACTGTTGAGAAGATTAGTCCTCCTGGTCTTCAGTGGAACAATGGAAAGGGTGTCCTCGACGAAAGACCCTACCCACCTAAACTCCAGCTTGTGAAAGGAGAAAACCTTAAAGGTTTGCTCCTAGAAAGTAGTTGCTTCAACATACAAAAACTACTGCTAATGTGGTCAAAGAGGAGGAGGGTCCATCCCAAGCTGGCAGCTGAACTAGGCAGTGCTGTCTATGTGGTACTTTGTACTATGTGGCTTTCGAGACCTAAAAAATGCAAGAGTGAATGAGTCATGCTTTCTTCCTCTACTGTTTCAGAGTTACTGGGGCCAAGCAACAGGTGGCAAGGAGTCTCTGTGTGGCCCTGAGAGGGCAGGAGGCCTTTTGAAACCATGTGTGAAGCTGTGAACCTAAAGCCTGCATTGCAGTGGAGAGCTCAAGATGCTGAAGATGCCAGAACCAGGAGACATCTGCCAAGGACAGCTGTGTACAAGGAGTGGAACCAGCACAAGAGTGAGATGTAAATTGCAGGCAGCAAAGCTGGAGAGAGCTAGGTTATCTAACCCTTTGCACCTGAAGTTCCAGACATTAAACATGGAGCTACAGGAGTTGGTGTTTGCCCTATTGGGTTTTAGTCTTGCTTTGGTCAAGTATCTCCACAATCTGGCCCCCATTCCTCCTTTAAAGAACAGGACTATAGAAGGACACAAGGTTACTTTGGCGAGTGACAACAATGTCTACTATATTGGCTAAGATGATGTCTCACAAATGTATCTATGTAAAACAAAAAAAAGAACAGGACTATGTAGTCTGCCATTTTATGTTGGAAATATATACTTGCTTTTTATTTTACAGGGAGGTACAGTTAAGAGCTTGCCTTGAGTCTCAGAAGAAACTTTGCTTTTAAATAATGATTGCACTGTAAAAGACTAGAGAGACTTTTATAGTAGGACTAAGTGCATTTTGCATTATGATATGGCCATGAGACTATAGGGACAAGGAAGTGGAATGTGGTGGTTTAAATGAGAAATGCTCCCCATGGACTCAGGTATTTGAATAATTGGTCCCCAATTGATGGTGCTGTTTGAGGGGATGTTATGAAATCTTTATATGGTGTGACCTTGGTGGAGGATGTATGTCCCTGGGGGCAGGCTTTGAGAACTTAAAGCTTCACCTAACATCCGGTTCACTCTCTGCTTTGTGTTTGCAGATGAAAATGTGATCTCTCAGCTTCCTGCTCTGGCCAATTGCTGACATGCCTTTCTCACCAGTATGGATGATCCCTCTAGAACCATAAGCTCAAATAAACTCTTCCTTCTATAAGCTTCTCCTGGTCACTGTATTTTATATGCCAACAAAAACTGACTAGCACACCTGGAAACCACAGTAAAGTCCACATCAGCTATGCCATAGTTGGAAAGAGGAGTGCTTGGTGCTGCAACCACTGTACAGGGGAAGTATGTTTAAAAGACCATGGCTTGAGCAAGAAGGCAAGCAATGCCAAGTACTCTTCAGTCAATTTGAAATACAAGTTTCAACCTCCCCACAGCTGAGATGCAGTTATGTGCACAGGGAGACCCTTTAATTTTTTTAAGTACCAGGGGTGGGACAGAGGGCTTCATGTGTGCTAGTTGGGAACTCTACCATAGAATTGCTTTTTAAAGAACTGATATATATATATATATATATATATATATATATATATATATATATATATATATAAAATCAGTTTATGTATCATATATATAAACACATATGTATACTTTCTCTTATACTTTCTCTTAGACATTTTCACAATATTCATAAGAGAAAAGGCATTCTAACATACAGTTGTGTTTTGGCATCTGAATATACCTGTAGTACTGGGAATGGAAGCCAGTAACTTACACTTGCTAGGCAAGTACCCTACCACTAAATTACACCTCCAGCACTGAAATATTTTGATGAAATTATCATATATAGAGAGGGCATATATCATTAAGCATACAGCTCAACATATTCTTGTAAACTGAACATACTTAGATCTATAAACAGAATATAAACAGTATCCCAGAATACCCTCCCTACACTGTACCCTTCCAGGAACTACACATATCCTAAAGATAAACACTCTCCTGACTTTAACAGAATAGACTTATTTTGACTGGTTTAAATTTTTTTTTAGATTTATTTCATTTTTATGTGTATGAGTGTTTTGATTACATGTATTTCTGTGTACCATGTGCATGCCTGGTGCCCACTGAGGCCAGAAGAGGGCATTGAGTCCCTTGGAACTGGAGTTACGGAAAGTTGTGGGCCACCCTGTGGGTGCTGGGAATTGAACCCAGGTCCTCACCAAGAACAAGTGCTCTTAACGGATGAGCTATCTATCCAGGCCCCATTTTGCCTGTTTTTGTGTGTTATATAAATTGAATCAAATGATAGATTCTTTGATGTCTTTTATAATTCGTATTTTGAAAGTGAAATTCATTCATGTTGTCACGTGTTTATAGACAACCCATTCTCATCATTATATATACTAGTGCATGAATAGATATTTATCCATTCTACTGTTGATAGACACTTAGGCTGTTTGCAGCTTGGAACAGTGAACATACATGAGAGCTTCTGTTTGCACTTAGGAGTTGGACTATCAAGTTATAGTGTATCCCTGTGTTCAGCTCTACACAATCAGTTTTACAAAGTAACTGTGCTAATACGTGCGTCTACTAACACAGTGAATTCTAGGTATACTTAATATTCTCTTTAAAATAAAAAAGAAATATTTTGTGGGGAGGAAGGAACAGGATGGCTTTGCCATCTTGTGGCTGGCCTAGAAATTGTTATGCAGCCATGGATGCCTTTGAACTTCTGAACCTCCTGCTTCTGCCTGTCAAGTGTTGGGGTTACAGGCATGTACCAGCGTGCCCAGTTTATGTAGTGCTTGGAATTAAAACTAGAACTTTGTGTGTACTAGACAAGCACACTACCAACTGAGCTGTAGCCCTAGCCAGCCATGATCTTTCTTACTATAGTTATTAATAGTGTGTGCATAGTGGTATCTCAGTACAATTTTGGTTTTTGTTTTCTTTTTTGTTTGTTTTTTGGTTTTGTTTGTTTGTTTGTTTGTTTGTTTTTCGAGACAGAGTTTCTCTGTGTAGCTTTGGAGCCTGTCCTGGAACTCATTTTGTAGACCAGGCTGGCCTCGAACTCACAGAGATCCGCCTGGCTCTGCCTCCTGAGTGCTGGGATTAAAGGTGTGTGCCACCACTGCCCGGCAGTTTTAATTTTCTTTCTTTCTCTCTCTCTTTCTTTCTTCCTTTTTTTTTCAAAGATTTATTTCTTTATTATGTACACAGTGTTCTGTCTGCACACCAGAAGAGGGCACCAGATCTCATTATAGATGGTTGTGAGCCACCATGTAGTTGCTGGGAATTGAACTCAGGACCTCTGGAAGAGCAGCCAGTGCTCTTAACCACTGTGCCATCTCTCCAGCCCAGTTTTTATTTTCTTATTCTTCAAATAATTACAGCATCTAGAATTGGCACATCAGTTATATTTGAATCTCAAGACCCATGCATGTTACTCACAGAATTATACTGTCTTTACATCCCCCACCATAAGTGTAGAAGGCTTTCACTTTCCACATCTGTGTTAGCTAGTTTTGGGGGGGGTTGTTTTTGTTGGTTTGGGGTTTTTTGTTGTTTGTTTGGTTTTTGTCAACTCAACACAAGTTAGACTCGTCTGAGAAGAAGAAACCATAACTGAGTAAATGCCACCATCAGATTGTCCTGTACGAAAGCAAGTGGGGCATTTTCTTGATTGATAATTAGTGTGGAAAGGCACAGCCCAATGTAGATGATATCACACCTGGCAAGTGATCTTGGGTAGTATAAGAAAGCAGGCTGAACAAGCCATTGGGAGCAAGCCATTAAGCAGAGTTCCTCCATGGCCTCTACTTCAATTCTTGTTCCCAGGTTCCTGGTTTGCGTTCTTGCCTTGGCTTCCTCTGATGATGTACTGTAGTCTGTAAGTCAAATAAATTCTTTCCTCCTCATGTTGCTTTTGGTCATGGTATTTTACCACAGCAATAGAAAGCAAACTAACAACCATCCCAATGCTTGATTTTATTAGTCTTTTTTTTTTCTTGAATGACTAGGGATGAAACCCAGGGCCTCATGCATGCTATGTGTTTCACCACTTAACTACAGCTCTAGCTAATATCAGTCTTTAATTGTAGCTATTGTAGTACATAGAGTGATACTATAATGTTGATTTACATTATCCTAATGATTGTGTTGGTCTCTTCTGAACTTCTTTGACAAACCATTGTTCAGATCTTTTATCTGTTATTATTTTGTTTCTTCTTTTCTCGTTGCACACCAAAGTTTCTTTACATACTTTTTGTTCATTGGTGATTTTGTTGTTGTTGTTGTTTTTGAGATAGGATTTCCTAGTGTTTCTCTGGCTGTCCTGGAACTCACTGTGTAGACCAGGCTGGCCTCAAACTCAGAGATCGGCGTGACTCTGCCCCTAGAGTGCTGGATTAAAGGTGTGCACTACCAGGCCTGGATCTTTATACACTTTCAAAGTAAGTCCATTATCCAACCTATTGTCCTGCTTCTTTTCACTACTCTTCTTTCTTTCGTTTTTCTTTTTCGTTTTTTTTGTTTTTTTTGTTTTTTTTTTTTTTGAGGCAGGGCCTGACTCTGTAGCCATGGTTATCCTGAAACTCTCTACGTAGATCAAGAGAGCCTCAAACTCACAGAGATCTGCCTCCCAAATCCTGAGATTAAAGGGCTGCACCACCACACCCAGCCTTTTACTAATCTTTCTATTTGTTCTTTTATGGGCTGCATTTCAGTGGTTTGTATAAGAAATCTTTATCCAACAAAGATCACAATGATTTCTCTTTTTTCAAACTTTAAAAAAAAATTACTAATTTTTTCACACAATGTATTTTGATCATATTCTTTATTCTTCCCCAACTCCTTCCAGATATCTTCTAACTCCTAACCCAACCAACTTCATGTACTTTCTCTTTTAAAAAGCAAATAATAATGATAATAAACAAAAACATCAAAAAACAATAAAACACACAAAAAATGAAAATCAAAACAGATAATCTGAATTTAAAAAGAAAACAAAATCAATAAGACAAAAAAATACACTCCAAAAAGAACTAAAAGTACATAATAAAACATAGGGTCCATTTTGTGTTGGACAACTACTCAAAGACTTACCCAACACTGTTTGGGTGACCAAGAACCTGAGACTAGATAGCCAAGGGACCTAGGGTAAAACCAAATACTATTGGTCTAAAAAAAGAAAAAAAGTAGTGATGAAATGACTCCTAATGACATTCTGCTATACTAACAGATAAGTACCTGGTTCAGCCATCATCAGAGAGGTTTCCTCCTTCTGCGGATGGGAACAAACATAGAGATGCACAGCCAGACATTACACAGAAAGTGAGGGACCTTGGAACACTCAGGCCTAATTGGGATGTGTCCATCAAATCTCTCCACTCAGGGTTCAGGGAACCCCATGGAAAAGGAGGCAGAAAGATCTCTGATTCTTGGTGGGTGGGTTTGACAAAGACACCCATTTAGTGCTGAGTGCTCCAAAAACTCCCACTCTCTGCACAATTGCCCAGTTGTGGATCTCTTGGTTAAATACTACCTACTGCAAGAAAAAGCCTCCCTGAAAAGGGTTGAATGATGCTCAGATCCATGGGTATAGAAATATACCAGTAGAGTTATTTTGTTGCTATGTTCCATTAACAGAACAGTAGAATTTCCCCTAGGTTCATAATCTATCTATTCTCAGGTTCTTGGCCACTTGAAGGTGTCAAGTATGAGTTCCCTCTCACAGAGTAGGCCTTAAATCCAATTAAAAAGTGGGTGATATAATATTTGTGCCACTATTGAAACAGAATATCTTGTAGGCAGGATTCCATTGTAGGCCACAGGATTTTCTTCTGTCTTCTCTTTTGGAATTTTAAAGTTTTAGGTTTTCTATCTAGGCCTATGAACCATTTTGAGTTAATATTTTAATATGATATAAAGTATGTTTGTGGTTTGTTTCTAAAATATTTATTTAAAATTAAATTATTTCTCACATTTTGACTTTTGTCAAAAATCACTTGTTCTAAGTTAGACATGGTATTACAAGCCCATAATCTTAACCCTATAGAAACTGAAGTAGGAGAAACATGACATTTGGGATATTGACAATGAGTTTTAAAGAGCAGGGTAGTCTGTTTATAGACTTGTACTGGTTGTGCTAAATTTTCATTAGAGCTCTAATCTAATGTTAGAATTCTACCAAATCTTGATACTAAATGTCTTTAGGCAGCAG